AAGGGTAATATGCAGATTTACCCCAACAGCAGAAGGACTGGTTGCTATGGCATGCGCTGACCACCAGGGGGCAGATGTTCAACGCAGAAGCTGCCCCCTGGTAGTCAGTGTGCACCCACAGCAGGAACTCGGCTTAACCACAAGCTGGACTGACAACTGCAAGCTCAGTGGCGGTGGCAGGAGCCTCTCCCACCTTCTCGGTAGTGCTAAGGATGTCCCATTGCGGCTTAGGTCTGCTCCCCACAGGAAGCAGGCCTAAGCCATCATTTGGACATATCCCAGGCTGCCAAAGGAATGTATGACTGCCAGCGTAGGCCTGATCTCCCAGGAAGCAGGCCTAACCTGGCAGGTGGACATCCCACAAGGGGTCCTGGACTGCACTGGGCCTCTAATGTTGAATAAGAGTCGTGAAAGCAGACATTCATGTCTTGTTTCTGTTCTTAGGGGAAATGCTTTTAGTTTTTGCCCATTGAGTATGATGTTGGCTGTAGGTTTGTCATATATGGCCTTTATCATGTTGAGATAAGCTCCCATCATGCCCATGCTTTAGTCCTTAGTTTAGATGTAGATTTTATTCACAGCTCACTTAGCCTTGGTTCCTGGTGAGTTAGGCTAGGTCCTAGAAAGAAGTAAAAACCTATTTAATGTGTTTATTCTTGGTATGTATTCTGTGAGAGGGATCAGTTTTCAGGATCTTCCAAGTGTCAATGAGTGATAAAACCTAGCCATTGAAATTCGTTGGATATAATACTAGGGGACTCACCTAGCCCCAGGTTCCTAAGTGGAGCAAAGAAACTTAAAGAGAGGAAGTTTGATTCCCTCCTGTGCCTATCTACCAACCATGCCCCCAGCTTTGCAGTGCCAAGATTCAGCTGTTGTTGAGGGACAGAAGCTTAAAGCTGTCATCCAGGATCGACCTGTTGCTCCGTGTTTTCTTTTGTTTTTATGTTGATACCAGACCATACCACCAAGAGCCAAAGCAATGAGCAGGAGAATGACACCAATGGCTATTAAGACAGAAGCCTGACGAAACCGGTTTGGCTCAATGGATAGAGTGTCAGCCTGTGGTATATGTGCTGCCGAAGCGAGCACATAGCGTCAGCCTGTGGACTGAAAGGTCCCGGGTTCGATTCTGGTCAAGGGCATGTACATTGGTTGCGGCACATCCCCAGAAGTGGGTGTGCAGGAGGCAGCTGGTTGATGATTCTCTCTCATCAACGTTTCTAGCTCTCTCTCTCTCCCTTTCTCTCTGTAAAAATTCAATAAAATATATTATTAAAAAAAGAAAGAAAAAGAAGCCAGTATCTTGATAACCCTTTACAGGATCTGCATGCCTAGCATCCTCACATTGCCTTCTTTAAAGTCTCTGGAGATTGCTTCCCCAATCTCAGTGGTGGTGGTGGTGGTGGTGGTGATAATGCTTAAATGTTCTCTTTGGTACAAGATAGTAACATGGCAGTGAACCAGCCATGTCCCAGGGTTGCTGGCCACCATTTCCACAACTTCAAAGGTACCCAGGAAGAGATCTACCACATCTGCTTGGTAACTCTTTTCATTCTGATAGAGGAAGCTCTCTGCATAGAAGTACACAGCGTGCAGGTGAATATCTTGGCCCTTGGCTAGCATGTACCAAGCCATTCGTTCTCCTTTGTACATGGTAAGACACTTGAGGTTGGCATAGAATTTTCCATTAATGGCCTGCATTTTATTGCTCTCCAAGAAAGTTTCATCCTGTAAGTTAACACAGTCTGGCTCCTGGGGCCTGTGGTTTGCCAGTTTCTTATCCAGATACCAAGACTGGTTCTTATTAAAAATCAAGAATAACAAGGCAGATTCTTGGTCCATGCCATTTCATAATCTATGGGGCTCCAAGATCCCTTTCTGCAGATAACCAACGACACCATAGCCACTATTCATGTCCTTGATGGGATCTGTTGCATAATAATAAAGCCAGGAAACAAAGCAGAGTCATTGGGTCCAGGGCCTGGTCTTTCTGGGATGCTCCCCTTGTAAATGAGAATCTCACCTTTTGCAACAGCATGGATGGACCTGGACAGTATTATGCCAAGCACAATAAGCCAGTCAGAGAAAATACATTATACCTTTCAATATTGGCCCACAGACTTACTGTCTTTTTTAATCTTATTAATTTCCATATCCATTCACTCTTTATTATCTTTATTCTGCAGTTAAGTCCATTTGGCTAATTATTTTATTACAATTATTTGTCTCAGTTCTACAGTTTCTATTTGCTTTTGTGATGGTGTTTTTTGCGCTTCCTCACACTGAGATTTTTCGTCTTTTTTCATTTTGAGAATTTTTCCCATTATGTCATTGAGCATAGTTTTAATAACTTTTCCTGCAAATACATCATCTGGGTTATTTCAGGATTGGTCTCTTACAAATGGATCACATTTTCCTGATTTGGGTTGTCTTACGCTGTGTGTGTGTGTGTGTATCTTTGGGTTGTTTTCTTTTTTGGAATGTTGAAATAATTCTTAATTGTCCTGAACACTTGTGAATGATAGGTTGGGAAGACTAGATTCTGTTATATTTCCTCCAAAGGATGTGGATTTTTTCTGGAGGCAGTTAATTTGGGTGGCAGCTCAAAATCTCACTTTTTTATCCTTAGCTAGGCTGCCTGGAGTCTGTCTTGTACATGTGTGGTTATGGAATCAGCTAGAGATTTACATATAGAAGTTGGGGCTCTCCCTCTCTGGTTCTCTTCTTTTTCTCCCTGACTTTCCAGCATCTGTCTTTACCCCCATACCTCTCTCTAATTCTCTAGGCCAAAAGGACCGAGTTTTCTCTGAGTAGTTAGCCTTGACTGGGGCCTGGATGCAGGCTATCGGCCATGAAACTGGAAATTCATCCCATGCCATCCCTTTGTTCCAAACATTGACACCCACGTCCCCACTAGAATCTGCTTACTTGGGCCACTTTCTTGTCTCTTTGAGCAGTTATTGTTTTATCTATAGAATATTTGTGGAGGGATGATGAGAAGTAGAAGAGCATTTTGAAACATATTTTAGAAGTTATTTGTAATGTAATAGGATGGTAAAAATATTATAATTAGCCAACCTAAGCTAGATTTGAGAATTTCCTTGAAGTGACTTTTCTATAGTCTTTTTACTCCATTCTTTTCTCTTTTCAATATATAACTACTTAGAAATATTTGATAAAGGATTTTTATTATAGTTTCTATCAAAGGAAATTCTTTGGTTGGAGCTATAATGAAGGTAGTGTCTTCTTTAGTCCTCATCACCAATAGCTTTATGATCAGGTGAGGCCAGGCCTCAGACCCAGTTCCCAGAGTAATACTTACAGAATTTTAAAAGCATCTATTATGCCCAGCCAGTGTGGCTCAGTGGTTGAGCATCAACCCATGAACCAGGAGGTCACAGTTCAATTCCCGATCCAGGCACATGCTTGGGTTGCGGGTTCAATCCCCAGTTGGGGGTGTACAAAAGACAGCCAATCAATGATTCCCTCTCATCATTGATGTTTCTATCTCTCCATCTCCTTTCCTCTGAACTCAGTAAAAAACATATATTTTTTTTTAAATAAAGATACTGATTTGGAGTTATGAATATTTTCTTTTATATTATCTTGTCTTTTTATATTTTCTACAATGAGCATATGTTAATTTCTGTTGCTGTGTTCCTAATTATAAAACACATGTTTAGATTAAATTTAAATGTATAGAAATACATAATAGAATGGGATAATCTCATCTATAATTCTACTTTTCAAAGGCAGTCATTATCAACAAAATTACAAAGTGCCAAAGTCCTTTGTTTTTATGCTACTACTATAGGCCTGGTGCACTCTACAGTGGCAGTAAAGAATGAGGGGTCCCATATTATGAGAGGGTGTAGGCCAGGCTGAGGGAACACCCCCATTCTTTACTGCCACCAGCTGTGAGCCCAGCTTCTGGCTGAGCGGAGCTCCCCCTGTGGCACCACACTGACATTTATTATATAGTGTATTATTTAATTTCACAGTATTTTTATCACTGCACAGAGATTTTTTAAAAATTATCTTGATTTCTTTTGTTTATTAGGACAAATTATTGGATTCCAGCACAGTAACTCACTTATTCAAGATAAACGCTCCTGCATTGAGCGTTTGCCCTGGTGGTCAGTGCATGTCATAGCGACCTGTAGTTCCCCCATTTGGTCGATTTGCATATTAGGGTTTTAATATAAATGTTGATACAGCATTTTAACTGGGTAATGGTTTGATAGTAACTTAAAGTGTATAAGCTGAAGTTTGTTACAGACAGACTAAAGAACCCTGTAAAAATGCAAAAAAACATGATCTCAAAAAATTCAACTTGGTGGGGGGAAAAATACAAAATAATCTAAGAACAATTAAAACTGCATATGGTCAAATTAATTATTAACCAATAGTTAATAGAAATACTAAATCTAGAGCAACTAAATTTGACCTAGATAAATCAGACTTAGAAATAATGGCCACAAAAGCCAACTTTTAAAATGGTAAAACATAGCCCTAGCCAGTGTTTTTCAGTGGTGAGAGCGCTGAAAGATCATGGGTTTGATTCCTAGTTAAGGGCACGTTCCTGGATTGCAGGTTCGATCCGTAGGCCGTCAGGTTGTTGCAGTAGGCAACCAATTGATATTTCTTCCTCCCTTCACTCTCTGAAAAGCAATGGAAAAAATATCCTGGGGTGAGGATTAAAATAATTTTTTTTCCAATGATAAAACATAATCGACAAAGATATAATAAATTAACTAAATCTTTTTTTGAAATTTGGTGCTTGAACCTGATAAAAAGATTTTAGTAAAATTAAAATGGAAAGAAGTTAAGTTGGTTTAATTATGATTTATTATTACCATTATTTTGACTTTTCATATCTTAGGCGGCATTCAATATTAGCTTGAATAGCTGTCTCATTCTTTTTAATGACTGCTATTATCCATTGCATAAATCTGTGATAATTTATTCTGCCTTTAAAAAAAACTTCTGTCTTCCAGAATATGCTTTTAAGGCTATTAACCAGGGTGGCCTTACATCAGTAGCTGTCAGAGGGAAAGACTGTGCAGTAATTGTCACACAGAAGAAAGTACCTGTAAGTAATACTGCCCAGATAGCTGATTATTTTGTACAAGTTTGTACAGAGGGATATTATTACCTATAAACGTTAACATTATTCTTACTTTGATTCTACTTTCCTAGCATTTACTGATTGGTTTTAACTATAAAGCAAACAAAAAACATTTATTATATAGTGTATTATTTAATTTCACAGTATTTTTATCACTACACAGAGATTTTTAAAAAATTATCTTGATTTCTTTTATTAGGACAAATTATTGGATTCCAGCACAGTGACTCACTTATTCAAGATAACCGAAAACATTGGCTGTGTGATGACAGGAATGACAGGTAATTGGCTCAATGTCTACTTTAAATTTGTTATTTTCTTTTAATTATTTTTTAGTTTTGTACTAATTTTAAAAGTATAATAGAATTAGATATCCATACTACTGTTAGGGAAACTGGGCCCCTCTCACAGAGATTTATTTCAGGTGTAGTTAATAGTTTAAGGGGATGTAAGTCAGTAAATCCCAAACCTGGTAATAATGACATTGGATAGAAGTTAGGTGAGAATTATAAAAAATTACTTTGGGTTTCTATTTTCTGAAATAGGGAAAATTCAAGTTTACCAAAAAAGATCAAGAGAAACATTCTTTCCTTAAAATTTGTTCTTAGGGAGTGTTAGTTACAGAAGCTATTTTAGCAGTTCTATACACAGTACTGCCCTTTAAAGGCTCAGAATAAAATGACAGTACTGTGTATGGAACTTCATTTTAAAACTTCTTTCTTTTTGTAATATACTTATCATTGACTATTCATTGGTGGTTTAAAAAAACCATAGTGGACTACTACTGCTTTCCTTAAGTTGTAATGGATATATATATATATATATATATATATATATATATATATATATATATATAAATTGTCTGGCTTGGAGGATCATTCTTTGCTTCTAAAGAACTAAACCTTTTTTATGTTCTTAGCTGACAGCAGGTCCCAAGTACAGAGGGCACGCTATGAGGCAGCTAATTGGAAATACAAGTATGGCTATGAGATTCCTGTGGACATGCTGTGCAGAAGAATTGCTGATATTTCTCAGGTCTACACACAGAATGCTGAAATGAGGCCCCTTGGTTGTTGTAAGTATGCTAAGAAGTACCTTAAATAATTGATGAATTTAGAATTTTTCTTAGAGAAGATGAATAAAGAAAATTATTTCAGCCGAAACCGGTTTGGCTCAGCGGTAGAGCATCGGCCTGCAGACTGAAAGGTCCCAGGTTCGATTCCGGTCAAGTCCATGTACATTGGTTGTGGGCACATCCCCGGCAGGGGGTGTGCAAGAGGCAGCTGGTCAATGTTTCTCTCTCATTGACGTTTCTAGCTCTCTATCCCTCTCTCCTCCTCTCTGTAAAAAATAAATAAAATATATTTTTAAAAAAATTTATTTCAGTAACACCTAGGTTCTGAACATGTGGTTTGGAAATTGTGAGGAAATCTTTATAATTTATAATTAGCAATGAAGGATAGGTTTTATAACAGTACTTACACTATTATCTTGAAACTTTAGATGCTGTTAGACTTTTTATCAAAATATTTTTGTTTAGTGTTTGTGATTTGAAAGATCTAAATTGTTGTTATATTAGGCTTTTGTAGTGGGAATTCTACGGCAATTCTAGATGATTTGTTCAAAGAAAATACCTAAATTAGGCATATTAGCAATGTAGCTGTTTTCTTGACCACTCTAAAGAGTCAGGCTCACACACATATGTCTAATTCATATTTTTAGAATAAATTTCTTTAAAAAAAAAAAAAAAAGGAAAATTTTACTGGGAGAGGTTTTACGATTTACTGATTTTAGACTTACCATACTGTAGTAAATTACTCTGAAAAAATAAATCAACCCAGGTTTATTTTTGGCATAGTGTCATTCATTCATGAGAATTAAAGCAGTCAATGTAATGATTTCTCCTTAGCATCTAATCCTATTTTTTAACTTCTCAATCAGCTGCCTCCTGCACATCCCCTACTGGGGATGTGCCTGCAACCAAGGTACATGTCCTTGACCAGAATTGAACCTGGGACCCTTCAGTCTGCAGGCCGACGCTCTATCCACTGAGCCAAACTGGTCAGGGCTATTTTCCTACTTTCATCCTTTTCTTTTGTATCCACACCCCAGCTTCCCTGGTCATCTGATTAGTCATCAAGCTTTTCCTCAGAATTTGTTTCTTCTCCATTTCCAGTTACTTTTTCATTATCTCTTGCTTTTGCCACTAAATTTACTTGTCTCTCCTCTCCCTTCTCACTCTTTCCGTGTCTGTCTTTCATATTGCTGCATGAGTTAATCATTCCCATGTTACTGGTTGCTGCTCCTTTGGAAAAACTGATTATTATTGGCTAGTGTGTCAATCCCAAACACCTTAATATGATATACAAGGCCTCTTACAGTTTATTCCCAAGTTGCCTCTTTCTTGTACTGCTTTCCTCCCTCATCTGAAAACCCAGTCACACACAGATCATTTTTCATTTCTTTGTTCTACTTTGATCTTTCATGTCTTGTTCCTTTTGCTTTGATCGCCTTGCATGTCCTTATAACCTATTAAACCCTATATCAGCTTGCAAGACCCTGGAGTAGAGAAACGTTTCTTGCTTCCCCCAGGCAGTAAGTGGATATCTCTTTCATGTTGCTCTTGTACTTGGTTTATATCAAGTATGAAAGGTAAAGAAAATTACAGGGTAACATAACATTTGAATAAAGCAGATATTGAATGATAGTGTTTGTCAATAAAATAAGGTTGAAAATTCCTCATTAGGAGACTGTAAAACATCTATAAATTTGAATAAAGTAGTCAGCTCATACTGAATTTTGGAAGAAGACTCTTTAAAGGAGGTTCATATTTAAATGTAAAAAAGCAGGAGTTAAACCGTTCTTTAAATACATACTTTGTTACCTGCTCTGCTGAGTAGAAAGAAGTTTGATGGTAGTGGCTATTTTAGTTGTCACGTTATATGTCAATCTAATAACATTAGATTTGTAATAAATTTATGTACAGAATTTAGAATCTTAATTATACTGGCTTCTAGAGGAATGTATACCAGCAACAACAAAGATGGGCAGGGTAGAGATGAGCATTATCTCCTATGTGTATTTCACTTGGCTCCAGCATTCCCAAGGTGTGTTACATATACTCTTAGGTCCTTGGAACTTTATCACTAGTTCTTAAATTTAAGAAAAGAGAGAAGTATTTCTTGGTTAAGTAAATTGAAGGACTACTGAGCTAAAAATAGGTCAACCTACAGCAGAACACTTTAGAACACCTATGCTATTGTATATTATTTTCTCCAAAAGAATTATATAAGTGTATTTTCCAAATTTATTTGACCAAGTAACATTTTGAGGAATTAGGATTTCAAAGAAACATGCTTTGAGTAATAACAAGGATTCAGAAAATTTTTTGTGGATTACATTTGTGATAATTTGAACTTTTCTAAAAATCTATATTAAAACCTTTTGCAGTGTTAACCTGTATTTTGATTATCGGGGTTTTTTTTTGTTTGTTTTTTTCCTTCTTTGTTTTTAAATATATATTTATTTTAGAGAGGAAGGGAGAGGGAGAAAGGGATAGAAACATTAATAATGAAAAGAGAGTCATCCATCAGCTGCCTCCAACACGTCCCCACTGGGGATCAAGCCAGCAACCTGGGCATGTGCCCTGACCAGGAATCAAACCGGCAAACTCTTGGTTCATGGGTTGATGCTCCACCACTGAGCCACACTGGCTGGACTGTCTTATCAATTTTTTTTTTAGAGCAAAACATATTCTAAAATAGTTGGCCAGAGTAATGATTAATAAGAGCTATATGACAACACAAGAATTTTTGCTGTATAGAAGGTATAAGATATTTAATGAGGGTCTTCCTTTCTTTTTAGGTATGATTTTAATTGGTATAGATGAAGAACAAGGTCCTCAGGTGTACAAGTGTGATCCTGCAGGTTACTACTGTGGGTTTAAAGCCACTGCAGCAGGCGTTAAACAAACTGAGTCAACCAGCTTTCTTGAAAAAAAAGTGAAGAAGAAATTTGATTGGACATTTGAACAGACAGTGGAAGTAAGTTAGTCAAAAGAAACTAAGGTTTTTGTTAATGCTCTGTAGAATAGTAAAGATCACTGTGTACTTGACATTCTATAAACTGTATTCCTGGGTTATCTCACAAGATCCAAGTTTGTTAGCTGAATAGTAAAATAGCTGACATGGGAACAATGAGCACTGCTTTTCACTTAATTTCTTATATCCATAATGTATTTGAAATTACTTTCAACAAAACACATCTAAGATGGAAAAATATAACTAAGAATAGAAATCAAAGACTAGACCTAAAAGCCTGCATGGTTATGACTCAAAGTAGGCTTACACTTCTTGGTAGCAAAAGCAAAATAATTGAGTCAGTAATGTTGCTCTTATGGTGTGCTAAAGGAAAAATAAATAGCCACACATCAAATTATCTTCCTAGTAAAAGAACATGCTCAGAGGATGAGTTGGTAAAGTAATTATATTTGGGATGCAAAAATAGAGCTAGCTTTATGCAGGGTTCTTGAAGGATTATGCATTATGATTGGGAACTTTACCTTGGTAGGACAAGCTAAGGTTCTTTTCTTTTTTTTACCAAGCTAAAATTCTTCTACAAATATTAATAACGTTAGACAAAAGAAGCCTCTTATTTACTGCCAAGAAGTTAAAAACAAAAAATTTTGATAGATATCGGAGTGAAGGTCTGTGATACAGACCTTTCTAAAGACTAGTAATATGATTCTGACAAATGACAAAGGGAAAATTACTATCTAATCCTATATATAAAAGCCTAATATTCTAAGTGTCCAGTCGTCCAGTCATCTGTTCAATTAATCAAAGCGTAATATGCTAATGATAAGCTAAGGTCTCTCTACTGCTGCTATAACGTGCACTGACAACCAGGTTCAGAGGCTTCGAACAGTAGGCTAGCTTGCTGCTGGGGTCCAGCCTAGTGGGACTGAGTGGGATTGAGTGAGACAGGCTGAACATGTCCCTTCCTGGCTGGCCAACCTTCTCAGCCAGGCTGAGGAACCCCACTGGTGCACAAATTTGTGCACTGTGCCTCTAGTACTTGTATGTTTGGTTGGCAGTATTATTTATACTAACAGGTGATATAAAGCTTGTTTTCATCTAGGAGATACTATGCCCTGTTTAAATGTTTATTAAAGGTTTTTTCTTATTGCAATTCATAATTACATGAGTAATTACATCAGATACAGAGCCACTTAAAACATTCTTAAATTGTTATTACTATAAATTCCTTAAAAGAAGACTATATCATTCATCTTTTTAAAAAATTGTTTTTATTGATTTTTAGAGAGAGGTAGGAAGAGGGGGAGAGAGAGAGAGAAATATCGATTGGCTGCCTCCTGCACGCCCCCTAGCAGGAATTGAGCCCAAAACCCTAGCATGTGCCCTCGCTGGGAATCAAACTAATCATCTTTCAGTGCACAAGATGATGTCCACCCAACTGAGCCACACCAGCCAGGGCTATATCATTCATCCTCTCCTCATCTCACCCCAAATGCTAACCATAGGGCCTGGCACGTAGTGGTCATTAACTAAATAGACAGTTTTGTGTAAATGTTTCTATTTTGCTTAAGGACCCCTTTGATTTATGGCTGGGCTGACATAAACAAGTTTCTTTTCATTGGCAGGCGACGTACTAGAATTAAGTAATCTGTTAGTGGCTATAGAAGTACATCACTGAAACATGGAGCAAAAATGAATAGCATGTGGTTAATTCATGATTTGAATAAGCTTGGAATGAGAAAATCTTGGAGTCTCTGAAAAATACCATATTTTAATGTTGATACTTTTTTCAGACTGCGATTACCTGCCTGTCTACTGTTCTATCAATTGATTTCAAACCTTCAGAAATAGAAGTTGGAGTAGTTACAGTTGAAAATCCTAAATTCAGGTGAGTTATTTTGTTGACCAGGTACTTTAGAAGTTTGCCAACTGATAAATTCCAGCCTAGAAAGTTAGACATGTGGGGTCCGTTTGTCCTGTAGTGTGGGGGAAGGAAACATTTGCTTGTACTACAGTTGTAGTATTTCCCTTCAGCACCTAAGAGACCTGTTTTTAAACTTACTGATGTCTCTTTAAGACAGATATAACAGCTTTTTTTCTCGTTTCAGAGTGATTTTTTATCTAATACCATAGGTGATACAAAACAATCCCCTTTATAAAGTAAGAAGTAAATATAAATGTTTTTCTTTTTTTAGTTTAAGTTCAATAGAAATTTAACTGTCAAAGTAGTTTTCAAGTTTTTCAGGTAGAGCCTCAATTATTTAGTGGTTATATATGTGAAGAGCAAATATGAAATACTGATATACATCAGACCTTATCTAGAGATCTTTGGAAGCCCCAAATTTTGAATACAGCTCATTGAATTACAGATGCTGGATGTCTGTCTGTTCTTACTAAGTGAGCTAAGTGACTAATTACCACAAATCAACCTTACAGCTTCCATGAGTCAAATCTGTACTGGATGCTTAGTACATGTACGCTCACTTAATCCTCCCAACAACCCTTTGAGGTCATTACTTTCCTTGTACTTGGTTGCTTTTTTGAATAGTGGAAAATATTTCAGTTAGGTCCACAGATGTGAGAAAGGGAAGGGAAGGGAAGGCATATTAACTATTATGTATATCTGCTTTTAGGTCACAATTATAAGTACACATGGTTATGGTAAGGGGTAGACCAAGCCTTGAAGAGTTTTTTGGTAGTATGCCTTTTTCTGCTTTGTTCTTTTTGATGCCTGCAGGTCAGTGATACAAACATGAGAGATTTAAGAAAAAACATTTTCATTTATTGTAGGAAAAGATCTTTTTTTTTTTTAATTGATTTTTTACAGAGAGGTAGGGGGAGAGAGAGAGAGCCAGAAATGTTGATGAGAGAGAAACATCGACCAGCCGCCTCCTGCACACCTCCCCACCGAGGATGTGCCCGCAACCAATGTACATGCCCTTGACCGGAATCGAACCCGAGACCTTTCAGTCCACAGACAGACGCTCTACCACTGAGCCAAACCAGTTTTGGCTCTGTTTTTTTTTTAATCAGTAAAATTTCATTAAGAATAATTTATAGAGCTCTGTAATGGACCTGCAATTAGTTTTTGTTTTCTATTCTGAGACCTTCCTATAACCTTTAAAATTCTTATTTCCATCAATTAGTTAAATATATAAGAAACCAAAGATCCTGTGTTTTTAAAAAGCCCTTGTATCATTTATAAATCCTGTGATAGTAAGTTTACTTAAATAATAACTAGACTATATAACATAAACATCAACAACTATATGAGGTGCTTATATTGCCCCCAAATGCCCTAAATAATGTTACTTTGACAAATTTTATTTTTTAGTGGTCCAGCAGTGATAGTTCATGTTAAAAGTTACCAAGCAGTTGATTTCTTTGGATCAGACATCATTTAGAAAATACAAATCTTCAGCCATACCATTTGGAGTGCCTTCTTATCTCTCAGCTAATTCAAACTTGAGTTATATTAGGTATAAAGGCATTTTGACGTAAGAGCCGAAATGGAATGCTTTATGTGTAGTTTAGCTTTATATTTAAATATTTTTCTATCATAGCTGCAACTAAAAGACCTAATTCTAGATCTGATGTCAATCATATTTGTGTATACAAAGAGTTGCTATGACATCTGGGAATTCCTTTAAAATAATCTAAAGGAATGAATAGTAGGTGTATAGATTTTTTTAAAGATTAGCTATAAATTGACAATTGTTGAAGTTGAGTGTTAGGTACACATGTATTCATTACTAGCCTACTCCGTGTGTGTTTGGAATTTTGCACAATAAAAATTTTTAAAAAGTAAATAGTTTTGGTTTTTCTTTCCCTTTGCTTTCTAGGATTCTTACAGAAGCAGAGATTGACACTCATCTTGTTGCTCTAGCAGAGAGAGACTAAACATTGTAGTCAGTTTACCAAATCCATTACGCCACTTGCCTGTGTTTGGTAACAACAGATGAACATTGTGGAGGCCTTTGGATTGAAAAAGGAACCTCTCCCACTCCTCCTGCCACTGGAGTGGTTAGGGCTCTCTATAAATAAAAACCGTGCTTTTGGAAAATAACTGCATCCTGTCTTTTTTACCTCTGTTTTATGTATTAATCCATTAGTTCATGCAGACTGTTAAATGTTCACCATCTTGACATTGTGGCTTTATTCATTTTGTTGACAGAGATCTAAGTTTCTGTGGCTTAAGAAACTTAATTGCCAGAAATTTATACTATAGCTAAATGGCATAATTAATAAGTAGCAAATGGAATTCTGGCTTTAAAACTTTCTCTAACTGTAGGCAAGGCCTTTATTTCATAATTCCTCATTCATGCGAATGGGATATTTCTGAGCGTGGATTCCAGGTCCCATTGGAAGTTTTAATTGTAGTAAAAGATTAGCATTATTGATATTCAGTAGCTTTGAGATACACATTAAATCTGTATTCAATAGGAACCAGTATTTTTAAGAGCAGCAATTAGTTACGTTTGGGAAATAGTAGGGCAAGAAAAGCTGTAGAATATATGTATTTTATATATTGCCTTAATTATTATTTGGCAATTATTTAAATTATTTAAATCCTACTCTAAGGAGTGTTCCTTAGTAGATATATCATCATAAACAATGTTAAGGAAAAAAGAGCAAACTATATACTCAAAATAATCTTTATTCATGTACAGAATTAAGTTTCATAAATTTCCAGAGTGATTCTCTGGTGGCCTAATTGTTTTTGGATGATCCAGAAATCTTGGAGTGTCTAAGGCTGATACATTCCATGTCCTCATTTGTGCTGGATGAGAGCAGTGCTGTCGTTATTCCCTCACACAGGTGAGTGGTTGTTGGTCTGAATGCCAGTCCCTGGAGTGGGTTGCCCCTCTTTCTGTAGCCACCAGTCCCACATAAGGGGAGGCCATGTGAACTTGTGACCACCAGAAGCAGGAAACTTCACCAACCACATCCTCTTCACAGCTGAGTCGTGAGTTGTGAAGTGTCCTAAAAGGGAAGCGGGGTTCTTCCAGTGTAGAGGCTACTGCTCTGGGACTACCCCTCCGAATCCACTGGGCTCTCTGAAGAGGCTGCCACCATTTGGAAAGTGGAGTCTGTAGAAGTATCCTGAACAGACCATGACATACTGTATTTTAGAATCTTGACTGTTATAGGATAGTGAAAAGTTAGGAAAATTCCTAAGTGGAATAGGGAAATAGACAAGAAAATGAAACAAGGCCAGACAGTTTGTGTAGCTTGCAGCAAAATCTTAAATCTTGAGAACAAAAGACTAATACCTCTCCTCACTAACAATGAAGGAAAAGGGGGAATTTTAATGCCTCTTCTCCCTAACCAGAAAATACATAGCATGAATCACCTGGAACTGTTATGGCAGGAGTGGGGGAAGGAAAAAAGGAGTTTTATCACCACTAAAATGAAGAGGTCAGCTGTCTAGGGCAAAGGACAATTTTATCTCGTCAAAAGATAAGCCAGCAGCCTCAGGGCTTGTTAGGATAAAATCAAGCCCCGTGGGTCGCTGCGGCTCAGTTGGTTGAGCATTGTACCCAGATGGTTCTGGGTCAGGGTACATGCCCAGGTTGTGAGATCAATCCCAACAGATGGGCGTGCATGAGGCAACCCATCGATGTTCTCTCACTTCTATCTCCCTCTCCCTCTTTAAAATCGATAACTTTTTTTTTTTTTAAAGATAAAGTCGCCAAGTGCTTTTCAAATTCTAGAAAAGCCATAAACCAAAGTCAGGGTTGTGGACTAGATCCCCAGTAGGGGCATGAAGGAGGCAGCTAATAGATGATTCTCATCATTGATGTTTCTTCTTGTTGAAATTAATTAAGAAAAGAAACAGTTTTGTACCATTTGGATTGTAAGTGATCTGCAAACCAAGTACTTGGCTCCCTCACTAGCCCCCAAATCCAAGATTCAGATTTGGGCCACAACCAAATTAACGCAATTAAGGATCTTCAGGATCTCCCTTAGAGTCAGAAATGCTAAGGTTAAAAATATTCTGACTGGCTACTTCATTTTCAAAATAAAAAGTCTAAACAGTAAACATTGTAGTAGTGAGTAGTGGTGGGCACTTCCAGTGAAATCGGGTGATTCCAGGATAACTATCAACCTCCATTTATTTTGCATTCCAGAAAACCCAACTCATAAGAGTTATCAGAACACCAGTAGAACAATGTACTAACATCATAGGTCATGAAAATTTTCTAATCAGTAGACTTGGAAAAAAATGATTAATTTCACATTTAAAATGCAAATTACAAGATATTTCCATGAAACTTTTAGATTATAAATATACAAAACTTGGTACTTTGCAAATACTTAATAAATATTTGTTGAATGACGGAATGATGAGATATGTTAGAAGTTACTCATTTAGCTGGTGGAAGGATAAATGGTCACTTTCTGGAGGGCAACTTGGGAATATGAATCAATAAACTAAGAATTTTTCCTAGGGATGTAATTGGAGATGCAGAATTACGTCAATAATTTTTTTGTACAGCAATAAATTACATTGCATCCAATATTGTGTAATACTGGACAGTCATTAAAATAAGTTTTGAAGAATAATTAGTGAACATTAACAATGTAATATTATGAAAGAAACAGGATGAAAAATATACAGTGTGATCCTTGCAGCAGACACTTTGGAACGCATTTCATTCCCACTGCCTGGACTGCTCTGATTCCTGCCGGCAGTATCCCACCTCTATGCTTCATGCGTTTATTTGCTTTCTAAAGTTAGGAACACGCTCAGTGTGTGCAGGCCTAACACAGCGAGCAGGGTGTAAATGCCAGCTGAAGTTGGTTGATAAATGTCCTAGTCTCATGAGGTATTTCTGGAACGGGCCATAGAAAACTCTGAAACTGCAAAATTTAGTGCACGTCTTAGTTTGCTGGGAGAGACCCACATATAGCTCTCATCAGATCTTCAAAGAAGTCTGTTACGCACGAAAGGAGCACCACTGGCAGGAAACAGTAGAAGAAAACTGGTTATTTCTAATGGGGACCACTTGGTTGTATAAGGCAGAATTATGAGTACATTTTATTTTATACATATATAATTTTAGAGAGGAAGGGAGAGGGATAGAAAGATGATAACATCAATGATGAGAGAGAATCCCTGATCGGCTGCCTCCTGCACGCCCGACACTGGGGATTGAGCCCGCAATCCGGGCATGTGCCCTCAGCCAGAATCGAACCTGGGACCTTTTAGTCCACAGGCCGATGCTCTATCCACTGAGCCAAACCGGCTAGGGCTATTTTTTTCTTTATATTCTCTTTTGAATAAGGAATGTGCACGAATAAGTTAAAGGTGGATGTGTTAACTGATTATAGCTAAAAATATTTGCTGCCATTAAAAATGTTTTTAAAATAATTTAAAATGACACTTTAAAATGCTTACGACATAATTCAGAAAAAATAAGATTATTTACAAAGTCTATGATTTCAACAATGTAAACAATGCATGGAGGAAATAACCCCTGAACTAATAAGTGTTTATAGGAAGGTTGCAGGACACAAGTTAATATTCAAAAGTATATTGCTTTTCTACATATCATCAATGAAGAATTGCAATTTAAAATTAAAAACACAATGACATCACATTAGAACCAAAATGTGTACTAAAGCTAAAGAAGAAAAATGTTTTGAAATAATTTAAAATGACATTCTTAAAATGCTTAGGACATAATTCAGAAAAAATTTCATACTTATCCTTGCAAGATGTCAATTTTTCAAAATCTATAAATTTTGCACACTCCCAATTAAAATTCCAGCAAGTTATTTTGCAGCCATTGAAAAACTGTTTCTAAAGTTTATGTGGAAAGGCAAAAGATCCAGAATAGCCAACACACTACTGAAGAACAAAGTTACTACCTAACTTGAAGACCATACCACAAACTATAATACATTAGTCAAGACAGTATGGTATTTTTTAAAATACAGTTTTTTTGTGTGTGTTCAGAAAGGAAGGGGGAGAGAGAGAGAGAAACATCAATGATGAGAATTATTGATGGGTTGCCTCCTGCATGCTCCCTACTGGGATCAAGCCCGCAACCCAGGCATGTGTCTGTCCTGTCCTAACTGGGAATCGAACCGTGACCACCTGGTTCATAGGTCAACACTCAATCCCTGAACCGCACCAGCTGGGCTAGACAGTGTCGTATTAATGAAAGAATAGATTAATAGAACTGACTAGAGATCCTAGAAGTAGACCCACCTATATATAATCAACCTTGAACTAATAATTGTTTATAGGAAGATTGCAGGACACTGGTCAGGGGGATGCAGGAAGCAACCAATCGATGTGTCTCTCACATTGTGGTTTCTGTCTCTACCTTCCTTCTCTCTCAAAACCAATAGAGAGAATATCCTCGGGTGAGGATAAAAAATAAGAAGAAAAACAGGAGCAATACCAATTCAATGGAGAAAGAACAGCCTTTGAAATGGTTCTGTAACAACTAGATGTTCACATGCAAAAACAAAGCACTTATCAGGAAAAGTAACTCAAAAGAGATCATTATGTAAAATACCAAACTATAAACTTCTAAACAAGAGAGAAAAATGTATATTGTATGTGAAAGAAGCCAATCTGGAAAGATTATATACAGTTTGATTCCCGTTATAAAGCCTTCTGGAAAAAGTCAAAACTCTGGAGGCAGTGAAACTGATTGGCGGTTGCCAGAGTGTGGGTGGGGAGAGGAGCACGACACTGCATTTGTCAAAACCCACAGAGATGTTCAACGCAGATGGCGAACCCTCACTACGAACTGTTGGCTGTAGGTCCTAATAGGGTATCAATATTAGTTCACTAAAAGTTCCTTTTTCAAATGCATGAGGAAATTCTCAAGAGATAAGCCAAAATGTTCACACTGGTTATCAATAATTTTTCTCACTTCTTA